ACACAGGCAGAATCCCTAAAACCATTCACCATGCACCTTCTTCTTGAGAGGTGAAAGCGAGAATACCTGCCAGAAATCAAACATGACTCTCATTAGAGCATATCGAAGATGGTTTTAGCATTATCGATTACTTTTTATGAATTCATAGCTGCTATATGCACATTATTCGATGACATTTCTGCAAATTTTATACTTTTAAGAAGCTTATTATAAATAATCAACCATAGAAAAATTAGAAATATTTGAAGGAGTCAATTTGTCAAGTATGTTAGTATCACACATATATTAACCTCTATTATTCAAAAACTTAAAAATTGACAGTCTGACTTCTTTATGATTGCTCAATTTGGTGGTGCGTTAACTTTTTTTCAGCAATTTTTCTAATTATCCCAGTTATAGTTAGACAAGCAAGTTTCAGAGAAATAAGTAAAACCACTAATTAATATGTGTCATTAACTCTTGTTAGTAAAGCAAAATTGGATATCAATAGGCAAGGTGTTCACAAAAAACTAGAAAATGTGTGCAGATAAACTAGTTTTCAGATACGTGCAAATGCACGCATGCGTAACTGGTGAATCTGAAATATTTAAACTTAACAAAAATGTAAGTTTAGAAGAATGCATATGAAAGGTGAAAATCATACCGTGTTCTCTATCCACTGGATGGTTGGAAAGTGAAGAGAACAATAACCATTGGATCTATTGAGATCAATGTAACATTAACACAGTGCAATGCTTTCTTCAGATAATTACTTCAACTAAACTCCACAAAGAACAATTTAATAACAGGGTTATTGCCTATTAATCAGAATCTTGCATATTCATACTTATTCTTCTTTAAGCATATCACGTTCTTAACATAAAAGCATGATGCCAATATTGTACAATGTAGATTATTTCACAGCATAAAGTTTCACAACAGAAAAGCAAAAGGGCATGATTCCTGGATTATTATTAATCATTCCGCTACATTGGATAAGAAACAATTTAGAATGAATCAGATCTAATACACATTGCATACATGAACCCG